GAGCTTCCGAAAAGAATTCTCATCCAGATGGTCAACATGATCTCTGGACCATACACTCAATCTGCTCCGATGCTAGACAGGATGAGCAATACTGTGAGTGGACTGGAAGTATCCAGTCAGACGGCTTAGTGTCTGGGCTGGCCGTTCCGGAACATCCTTGCAGCCTTCGTTCAATCGCCTTCTGCACTAACGGGATCCATCCTCTCTACCCAGCCTCCAGGATTTTGCTCTCGTCCGCGCCTATTGCGGAGCCCAACACCCCCACTCTGCGGTTATCAACCACCTCCGCTGCTATCATTTTTCTGCCAGTCATCGCCGGATGCATTCCCGCTATCGTGAATAGGGCCAATGCATGCTTCTGCATTTTCCTGTAACTGTATGCATTACAGTACACGGACTGACACACAAGAGACAATTTGCTGTCGGGATGGATCGACCGCACTACCTACTTCCGGGCCCCAACCCCGAACCTCGTTCCCTTAGGAGAAGAGTGCCTTCATTTCTGAGCAACCTGTCGATTCCAGGCCATTGACCCAACATCTTGGGGCGCCCGTACCCACTCATCATCAATCGCCTGTCGCCCATCATGTACCGTCAGAACGCGCTGCGTCCCGTGAGAGGGTCTTTTTTTGCCCCAGAGGAACGCCTCTTGACCCAGAGGCGGCAAGTCTTGCCTTCCTGGATATGCCTAGACGATCCTCTTCGATTTTCTTCCTTATATTTATTATTATTATTATTATATTATTATTATTTTCTTCCCCATTTTATGTTATTCCTTTACTTCTCATCTCATTTGCTATCGTCTTCTCAACTTATCCACCCCTTTTCTAGTGCACAGGACTTTAACTTTGTCTGATTTCGTAGCCAGGGCGTACAGCAGTAGCCGCAGGCTGTTGTTGCATTGCTTCTTCACGCCGAGTCGGTTTTGGTCTTGTGGCCCCCCTGCTCTTGTTACCCGTCCGGGTCTACATCGTTTTCCCAGCTTTCATGCATCTTTAGCCTTTCGCTGCTTTTTGGCACCCCTCCTGGTCTTATTCGAACTGGCTCGGAAATTCCAGAGCTAACGCGCCCCTCCCGGTTGAGCGTGCGGTTGGCCTCCCTCCCCTCTCTCCCCTTCCCCTCTGCTGCGAATGCCACCGACACTTGATGGCATTTTTGAAACCATCGCTCTTGAAACACTATCCTTTTCTCGGTAGCTTCCGGTCTAGTCCCTCTCTGGCAGGTTGGGGTCCGCTGTCCTTGATTCGGGTCACTTAAGTTCTGACCCATTGTGGCTCTCTTCTCGTCTTCGACTCTCCAAAAGTCGCAGGTCGCAAGGTAGAGGGGGAACTAAAGAATAGGAGTCCCTGCAGCCTTCCTCTTGCCAACCGGCCGCATGTCTGGCATCTGCACCAGTGCTCTCCTGCGCAGCCCCGACTTAAAAAGTCCGTTTGGCTAGAAAACGTTTTTGAGAGGGTACGGTGTTACCTCACTACTGGTCGAGCGTCTCTCTTCCCCCCTTTTCCTCTTCTTACATTCGTTTTCACCCTCGGGGTGGTACCAGTATGCACCGTTGAAACTGTTCTTTCCAGAAATCCATTCGATCTCCAGCGACGACGGCAGCCAACTGCCCTGACGTTTCTCTCTTAGGGCCACGATCCACTTTGGTTCCATCGTTTATTTTTATCTCCGTTCCCTTTTTTTTTTCTTCTTTTGATTTTAAATCTTTTTCTTTTTTTATTCCGCTTGTTTTCTTCTTCTTTCCTCCTTTTGGAACTTTCCCAAGCCTTTGTTCCACGCGGTGGCCTGAAATCGCAGAGGCAACTGTTATCCATTCGGAGGTGTTCCTACTGGGTTGTTTTGTTTCTATAGCCTCTCCTTACGCCGTCTTCTTGCTTTTACCCTTGCGATCTCTCATGTGTTCCACTACCTCAGTGAACGATTATTTGACTTTCAATGTCTGCTATTCAACCCATGTGCATCGGCTCATCTTCCTTTCATTCGTTTGCTGACCATTGTTTTGACCCTCTTCCTCTTTCTTGACATTTATTCGCTGCTCTCCTAGCTTGCTTTTGCATCTCTATTTAAGAACCCACGTGTTGATACACTTACTGGTGTAGACGCATCGTTCCGTTTGGGAGGCTCCGTGGCAGATTCTGTTCTTCCTTTTTTTTTATTGTTTCCCTTCTTTCTTGTTATCGTTTCTTCGGTCCCTTGTCGATTCGTGCTTGGTGCTTGTCGACCTGGTTGGCGTTGTGCTTTGCTCTTGACTGTTCTACATCCGTAGTCGCGTGACGCGTCACTCTTTATATCTTGCTTCCAGTCTAGATTCTGGGATCGGTTTTACATTCGGTTCGTGTGTTTGGTCTTTCATCAAGCAGGTACACCGCCTCCTTATACTTCCATGGTCTGCTGGCTATGTCGAATCAACCAGAGAGGCCATGGACTGAGGAGGAGAAGGTAGGGCCTCCAATCCTCGCCCCTCTTCCTACGACAGATTTGGGCATGGAAGACCCTCTGTCGTCGCAATTACCGGTGCTTTTGCTGACGGAGGTATGGCTGGCTCTAGTACACTCTGCTTACGGAGATTCTGAAGAAGGCCCGAGTGCCTTCGAGCCATCTTGTCAGAATGATCAGGGATTTCAACATTACCCCAAGCTGGGCGGATATACCCCTTCCTCCAGGTACAGATCTGCCAGCACCTTCCGCTTGTCCTCTGCCCCGGGCAGCTTGAGTTAATGCGACTCACTTCCTGTTCGCATTGACTGCGTACGAGGACAGCCTTTCATGCTCTGGATGGTTGACTTAGCATTGCTGATCCGATTCTGTCCAGGTCGCTCCCTCAATTCCTGTCAAATAGCGTTCTGTAACATGCTGCAACATGTTCAACTATCCGTCACTCACAGCCTCGGCTCGATTCCCCCGCAACCCCATGAACCCTCCGTACCAGCAACCGTTCCTCTAGAAAGCAGTAGCGTCTTGCGCAAGAGGCCCCTAATTCCTTCTGACAGGGCAATTCGTGCCCCGCGTGCGATACAACCACGCCCTGCGACGAGCACCGCTTCTTACAGTAGCGAAAGTGGAGCTTCCGCCCTCTTGTCCCCAAGTTCGGAGAGCGTCACTGCCAGAGGAGAGCCTCCACGGAAGCGTGGACGGCCTAGTAAGGCCGAATCGGAACGGCGCAAGGCAGCTGCTGAGGCTCGTGGAGAAACGTATCCACCCCCACGGCGGTCTGGATCTCACAAGCTGAAAGTTTCGTCTACGCCCACTAGTCCCTCCGGAGTCGCACCAGGGTTGCCGTCATTTTCGCCCCAGGCCAGCAGCAGTCGCCCGCCGGAATTACCACGACATGAAATGCACTACGTTCCTCCGCCGGGGAGACCAATTCCATTGATGGGACCGAGTAGCGACGAGCGGCCAAGGGATATGCCTAATCAAGACATAGGCTCTTCGATGCGAGAGCTACCGCGTCCGGATTTGAGACAGACTTTGCCATCACCCGGAACCCTACATTTAGGTCATAGAGATACACCACTCATACGACGGGAACCGGGGGTGCCTTTTGAGCCTCTCCCACCGGACAGACATCCTTTCTCACAAAGCAACCGGAGGAGTCTCATACATCCTACTAGCAGATATCCAGATGAACCGCCCACACCAGCCTCCGATCTACCCATATCCAAACCACCAGAGAATAGGCCGGAATGACATGAAGAATAAGCACACAGCGTCTCCGATTTCCCGGTTTATCATGGCATGACGGACGAATTACAACATTGAATATGAACGATAGTTAGCATTGGTTCGGAATCCCTCACCAGAAAAGCAAATCGGAATGTAAAGGAAGCAAGGCAATGAGCGCCACATCCTTCATACGTTATTTTCTTCTTCTTCCCATCTCACATTATTGCGCATCGGGGTCCCGCTCTTCGGCGGGGCGGCTTGATGGACAATTTGATTGCTCATGCTTGGCGGATCGATATCCCTATGACCGAGTTGAAGCGTCCGACAGACATGTCCAATTTTACTTTCTCTGGGCTGGCTTAACTTGCGCGTATCTGGCTGAAGCTGTGCAAAAGTCGGTCAACCTCGTCACCAAAAGCCTGATTGGTTCACTTTCCTTGATCAATTTCCTGCGTTTCTTTCTCCTTCCTTATGCGTACATGCACCTTAATGATGCACTGAGTTGATGATCTTCCATGCATATTGAAATCTGCACACATCATCGGGCTTTCGGAGCACTATTCCAAAGTCTCCATTCATACGAACTTCATGAATATGACGTGACATATTGACTTTCCTTGTTTTGGGCTTAACTTCCTTGCCTTGCATCATGTGCTCTCTATCTCTCTCCCTCTCCTCATGTCTCCCTTATTGGCATTCTTCTCTTCTTCCGCTTGTGGCTTCTTCTCCACTAGCCAACTTTTCTTCCTCTTCCTCTGCCTTGACCCTCTCCGCTGTCTCTGGGCGTGTGGTTCTTCTATGGTCAGGACATAATATATTGTATAATTACTAATTCGCTTAGTGATCAGATCTTGACAAGGTTATATGTACAGCTTTTCAGCTCTTTCTTCAAGAGGTTATCATGCTATACTGGAGAAAGACGAACAGAGGATCAAAAGAAGTTGAAAAGGAGCAAGCACTATCAAGCACAGCTCCAAACGCGTAGACGTCAGATTTAATATCTCTAGATCTAGCACTGCTTTACTGTAAGGTTTGTGCATCGTAATATGTATTGTTTCGCCGTCGAGCCTGTGGCTGGCTGGTGGTTGCTTGTTGCATGATTATTGTTCATACCGAGTGTTCTAAGGATTTTGCATTACACTGCTATATCTAAGCTTGTCAGAAATGCTATTATCTGACGTAAGTACAGTAGGGAATGTGTCGCCAGGTATTTTTCTTCCTTCTGGCTGCTGCATGCAACGGTAATAATGATCCCCTTTCTATTATACTAGACATGACTCCGTAATTGCCCGCTGTCGACCTATACCCAGGGCAGTCCTCCCCCATCAGTCTCTCGATCACGGGTCCTGACTACTCCTAACCCGATCAAGCAAGGACCTTAACCTGGTTGTCGAGGAGATATCTGATGGATTAGATGTCTCAGGGGCACTAGTCGTGGTGGTACCAGCCGCCGCAGACAACGATGCGACTGGCTCCGGGATGCCACCGGAGGCAGATGGCGCAGATGGGCGAAGTGGGGCCGGTTTTTGATTCTCTGCAGCCTGCTGTGCTTTTTGTTCTTGTTGTCGCTGTTGTTGCTCCAATTGAAGTCTGATGGCGCTAACTGCAGAGCTCAGGCTTAGGCCTGTGTTCTTTCGGCCTGATGCTATAGGTGAATCGGGGCTATGTTGTCCCACGAGTTTCTTCACATCGTCTCGTCCTTCCACGCGGCGGGTGAGGTACATCTTGGGAATGGTGCCTTGCCGAGGGAGGGTGCGGGTCCGGATGCGTTCAATTTCTTGTCGATAGGCGGTCTCGTAGATGTCGAAATCCGCGGCACCGGGAGACTCGCTTACAATTGGATGGGAAACGTCGACGTCCATCTCGTCGGGTTCGGCAGATATCATGGTGTCAGGTTCTTCGAAGATGGGATCGGTGTCAGTATCCATGTTGGGTTCGTTGGACGAGCCGGTGTACGTTGATGGTCCGATGTATAGGAATGGGAATTCCTCCTCCAGAGGATCGCGTGCATGGCCACGGGTTCCTTCAACGCTGCGCTTTGTGGTGACCGAGCTAGCCCGGGATAGTGGGACGAAAGGAGACGGGGACTGAGGGTTGGAGTTGGATTGGAAATCGTCAATCGACCCTCCGGCGATATTGTGACTGCGAATAGACCCAGAATCTTTCCGTTCAGGCTCCATTCTGGAAGCATTTCTGCCGTTGTTGCCTGGTGCAGGTCCAGGTTTACTGTGATGGCTGAGAGACTCGCTGCTGTCGGTAAACTGGTTGGAAATTAGATCGTCGCGACGCTGATGGAAGCCTTGCAACACGTTATCACGTTCCCAAGGACGCCTATTATACATGTTCAGACTCTGGCTCTTGTTGAGTATGGGCATATTGCCGCTGGCTGTGAAGCTCTCCTCTGGCTCCATCTCCATTGGAGGCTCAACAAAGTGCGTTTCGTATTCTTGACCAAGGATACTCTGCATGGGCGGGTCTGCCTTTGCCGGGTCGATCAGTCTTTTGAAGTGCGTAACCGCTTTGATCTATTGTAATCGTTAGCCTGAAACTTACCAATCGCGATAGTAGTATCTTGAATGAGATTGTCAACTTACCACGGCCATAACGTGACCAATAGTTTTCGTAATGGCGGAGTTCATCTCTTCTTCTGTGGGCAGACCAACAATCTCAGCGGTGTTCTCGCTCTCTGGTAGAAGAGGATCAAGTCCATTCTTCGTCACCCAAGGGTGTTCCTGTATGCAGTCTATGAGTAAGATAATGGCGTCCAGGCAGCGTTCATGCTTCACCTACCCGCAACTCCTCCATTGTGATCCGCTTGGCCGGGTCTTTCTCCAGGATTCGGAACATCAGATCCTTGAAGTTCTCGTCGGTCTCTCCCTCGCATACAACAGGGTCGTTCTTGATGGCTTCGTAAAGCTCAAAGATGCTTGCCTTCTCAAATGGGAGCCTGCCATATCGAAGGCAGTACAGTGTGACCCCCATAGACCATATGTCCGTGGCCTTTCCTGAGACATCACCGTGTCTCACGACGCACAGTTCCGGCGGAAGAAAGGCAGGAGAACCTGCTGACTTTGCGGTGAACATGTTTGAATCCTTCTCGAACATTTCCGACACTCCAAAGTCGACGACTTTCAAGACGTCGTCACTCGTCAATAGACAATTGTCCGGTTTGATATCGCGATGTACAATACCCTGCGCATGTAGGTATTCGATTCCTAAAATCAGATCGCGGAACCAACAGCGACATTGGTCATCATCATAAGGATCTGCTCGTTCCTCGAGGCCGACCTTCATGATCACTCCTTTCTTACACATCTCCATGACCATGTATAGCGAGTCCTCCGTAGGATCATCGAGGACTTCTATTAGAGACACAAGGTTGTTGTGATTCAGCTTCTTCATGATGGCAATTTCTTCCTTGATCAAGTAGAGAGCGTTTTCCTTGTGCTCATCCCCACCCGGCGGGCGGCGATGCAGTGGGGAGTTAAACCCATCTGAGGGACGCTTGGGGCCTCGGGGCCTGCGCAGAAGATGCGACTGCGCACGTTTCCGTAGACGGGCCTTGGAGAATTCCTTTACAGCCTGAACGGTGCATTCTCGGTCAGCTTCTTCAGGAGATAGATGATGTTGCGCAGGGGCAAGTACATATTCGTTTCCAAACTGGTCAGTGGCAAGATGCACTGCTCCGAATGATCCTCTGCCGATCTCTTGTTTGATCACATATTGATTGATCCGGTGCTCAGCAGTGCCATCATCCTGGCTGGTATAATACTCGGATCGAGCATTTAGCGTTTCCTGGTAACAACGATTAGCGAAAGAGCTATACAATGAAGAGGCAAGCGTAGTCATAAGCGGTAATCAAACAGCACGTATGAGAGCGCATTATTAGAGCAACGAGGACCTACCTTGACTGGACGCCTGACTATTGGGTTCCGGCGATGATGTCTCTGGGGACTTTCGTATGAAGGGGTGGAACTAATTTCCGAAGTCGATGTGAATCAGTATCCCCATGTAAGGAGCATCCGGGAAGCATGAGTGAACGGTTGAAGAAAGCCAGAGACAGGCCTGAGGGCAGATTCGGAAGATGAGACGAGCAAAGCAGTGCAACTCACACACAGCGAAAAGGCGGCAGAGGTGGCCGCTCGGTGGTGATCGGGCTGGCATCCTGCTGGGGGAGCTCGGCGTCCCCTGAGGCCATTGGAAGATGTCGACGACAGAACCACCGCGGCAAGGATTTAGGGTCCCGAGTGTTTCACACAAAGATCGGAACTTAGCAGACTTGGGTCGGCCGTGACGAGAAGAGGAAAAATGACGGTTGCCTGTGATGAAGTGTGGGGAAAGATCGGGGTTTACGAGGCAATGGAGATAAGCAGCCGTTGCGCCGAAGTCAAGATTTGGCAAGAGGGACCGACTGAAGAATGATTCAGTGCTGTGGAACAGTGACTCCGGGAAGAAGAGGAGAAAGAAAAGATTTACTTCTCCTCAAGGTTGCGGTGCGAGATCAAAAGACAGGATTGAAGAGAGGGAGAGAGCTGAAAGAGATCGACGGGGGGGATTGAGAGGGGAAATCGTGGTGGTTGAAGAAGTGGTGGATGCCCAGGGCACCAGATTTATGTAAGGCTGATACTAAGCATTACGAGGCGTTAATTCAGAATTTCCCCGAAGAAATAATGATAGTCACAATTTATTGAACTTCAAAGCATCACTTGACGATCTGCTCGACATAATCCCCATTCTACAACTCATCAACCACAAACGGAATCCTCAAACAGGGGAGTTCAGCATATAACCGGATTGTTGTTTTTCTTTAAATGGAATTGGATCGAGAATCCGTGGATCTGAGCGACTCACCGCCCACGAGTAAGATCCCCGAGTCTAATTCAACTGATCAGCTTAACCTTCTCCCCTTCTTCCCCCCCGTCAGACCCGCCCTCGATCTCCTTTTCTGGGGCTTATCATCTTGAATCTCTATCGTCCGGAAGACACGTTTCAAGCCACCTCTGCGACGCTCCAAATATAGACTGTTTGTCTCTAATCCGTCATCTTCGCTACTTTCCACTGTCGGCATCATGGTTGTTTACTCCTTCTATATCTTCGATCGTCATGGTACCTCCCTCGCATCCATCCACCCATCCCCAGCCATTCCAATTGACGTTGCTAACCCGGTCTCTCCCATCCTAGCTGAATGCATCTATAATCGGCGCTGGCTCCCACGCCCAACCTCCATGACTGGCAGCAAGTCCTCACGACCGACTTCCGAAACATCTACTCCGGGTCTCCCCGCAACACTAGGCCAAACTGCGCGCGCCACGGATGACGATGCCAAACTCATCTTCGGTACTGTTTTCTCCCTGCGCAACATGGTTCGCAAGCTAGGAGGCGAGGACGACAAGTAAGGACTCTACACCACAGCGACGAGGCAACTCGACTGCGAGGACAGTCATTAACAACTCGGCCACGTTCATAGTTTCGTTACCTACCGCACGAGCCAATACAAGCTCCACTACTACGAAACTCCTACCAACATCAAGTTCGTCATGCTGACGGACCTCAAGAGTCCAAACATGCGTGTTGCTTTGCAGCAGATCTACATCAATCTCTACGTCGAATACGGTACGCTCTGGCTTAGCTTACGACGATGACTCCCTGGACAGCCGTACGCTGACCACCTCTACTTCTAGTGGTCAAGAACCCGTTATCCCCCGCCGAGCATCCAGGTGGTATTGGAGTGAACAACGAGCTCTTTGAAGAGTCTCTGGAGCAGTTCGTGGTATGTGCTTTCATCGTTGTTTAGTTGGATGTCATCTAACCGATAGCAGACTCGGGTTCTATCGTGAAACCGACTTGAAAAACCATTAGCACTCTATTCGCTCATGGACCTGAGTCGAAGCGAGCCCCAAGCTTAATTGTCAAGCTTCCGCAAACAAGCATCCATGCGATAGCGGGATCAGCCCCTCCTGCATCCCTATGACCTCAGAGTGCCGTCGTGCAGCAACGGTCCGGTGCGGCGGAGGCCTTCCCCGGCGTCCCTTACTGTCAACTGTCGACACATGCCACAGGTCCGTTACTCGAGTCACAAGTGTTAAAGCTACATAAGCACAATGCTCGCAGACCTGACTTAAACCCGACACCGGGCCGCGTCCGGCACGGACAGCGACCAAGCCAGGACCAGGCACAAACTCTTGGTCAGTATGGGACAAACGAATTTATGACTTGACGTCTTATCATTATATAATATCCAAAAATGAAACATTGAGAGCATACATATTCTCCCAGAGATAATTTACACATATCACATAATTATCCATATCATCAACCATAATTATAAAAACAAAACCACAACATAACTCATACACCCTTCCCATCATCCATAATATGGAAGACGTGCACAATCAAGCATACCGAGTACTCGAAGTCCCGACATTGCCATACAACACCTCATCCGGCAACTCATCCTCATCAGGGCCCTCATTATACTGGTTCTGAGTCTGCGGCTTCGCGCCCCTCGTCCTACCCTTAATCACATTACTCTGATCAATGGCCTCGTCTTCGTCTTGAGCTATAAACCCAACCAGACCTGTCAGCATTCATTCACTCAATTCACCCGCCACATAATCATTCCTTAATTCAAAGAAATTAAATGGGGTAGGGAGGACATACCAAGCTGCTCATCCGTATTCGAATAAGGCGGCTGCATCGGATCCTCATAGATATCATCATCCCGAGTCACAGGGACCTGGTTCCTCAGACCCGATCGCGTCTCGTGTGCGTACGAGTTATCCCGGAAGGTACCAGACACCGGGGACGGGTCGTTCTCGGCCTCGTAGCGGTCTTCGGCTTCACGTTCGTATTGGTTGGACATTTTGGTTCTTGTTGCTGCGTAGTAGCTCTAGAAGCTTGGGATGGGTTGATTTGATAGAATGGTTGGTTGGGGATATAGTTTGAGATAGGGATGGCTATGCAGCAGTGATTGAGGGGGGTATTTATAGTTGGTTCTATATGGTGATGGAGGGTTGATGCAAGATTGATGTCAGGTTGATGGGGATGAAAGATTGGGTTTGGGTTTAGGTTTGGGGAAGATGTCATTTGGTTCATTGTTGCTATTCTTTGCTTTGATGTCAAGACTTTGCTTGGGTGCAAAGTAAGTATCTATTGAGTGCTGTTGCTGCTGTACTGCTACTACAATCAGGTAGGTCATTGTGAGAGGGATGAGGTGATTGATTGTGGGGATAGTGATGGTGATGGTGTCACGATAGGCTTTCAATCGTCATCTTTGGATAACAGTACACTGTAGATGTATGGAGCCAATTGTCTAAGGCAGCCATGCTGTGTTCAGTCAGTCCTTGTTGCTACTGCTGCGCAGTTAGTTTGTATACACATGGTAGGGCTGGTTCGGCTGCAGCGGGCGACCCAGTCATAGTAACACCCAAATAGCAAATCAGCATCAAAGCCAACGGCTCCCACGACAGGGAAACCTCAAAGCTCTAGAAGCTACATGTTGGTTCGATATCGTCTCAACCAAAGATGAGCTCGCACGGCGGGCATGACATCGCCCTTGACTCACGGTGAAGTAATTCGCCACGGCCTGGCCAGACCTTTTGCTCACTTACTCACTCACCGCCGCCGCCGCCATCCTTCTTCCATCAGGTCCTATCGGTGTGAACCCGTGTTTCTCGGTGTTCCTGGGCTTTTTGCTGATGAGCGATTTGAAAGACACCAATGGCGGCATGCCCGGAGGAGACGTGACGGGATATGGTGTTGTTGTTCGCTGCCTTCCCTTCTCCCGTTGATGGCCGCTAACTATAAGTGCCTTACCTAATCCATTCCATCGTACCAAGAGTGTGTGTACATACACCATAAGGGATCTCCATGATAACCCTATTTTTAATTCCAAAAATGCTATTTGGCATGGTTCATCTGACTGTTTCTTTCGTTCCTTTCGCGCGAGGATAACCGGAGAGGAGAGAGAGAAGCAGGCTGTGTACAACGGGTCGGCTTAAGCCGTGCGCCAGAACACGAGTTGTGCTTGTGCCAAGTAAGCTCAGCTCTCGCAGCGAGTGAGTGACTCACGGGGCGATCAACTTAAAAAAAAAAAAAAAAAAAAAAAAAACAAAAAAAAACAAAAATATTGATGAAGATACGGTCAGAGGAACTTGGGCCGTTTCTGGTCTGCACAGCACGGGCAGCTTGGCTGTTTTCCTTTTTTTTCACTTTCGCAGGATGAGAGAGAGAAAGCCAAGTCTATACCCGGTCTCTTGGTAGGTGGGCTTTGTTGTTTTCGTCACGGATTTGCTGGACAAACTTGAATCGGAGCGCAAGCATTATGTCGAGTCAGTCGGGGAGTCGGAAAGAAACGCATACATATGAAGGCGATGGTCCGAGATGTTAGAACTGTTCAGTTCTTTTCAGTCTCAAGTGTCTCTTCTCCGCATGATCAAGATTTATGTCTCCGATTACAATCAGCTGATACTTCGACATGAGGATGTGCCGTGTAGCCGGGCATATGTGCGAGTTTTCCTTTTGAGTGTCATACTAACTTAGAAGTAATAGTAGTTAACTAGTCAATTAGCTGGTTAAGATTAGGCAAGTTAGCAGATAGTTAGTTGGGCATATACATCGATCCTGACAAAGCAGCAGCAGCAGCAGCAGCAGTTGTCCGATCGTCGGGCAAAGGAAGGGCAGGCAATTCTGGGAGTTGCTGCAGTCAGTCCCACACCGTCCTTCATGTAGAGTTTCATACCCACAGCCATTGCAGTATCTTGTAAATCGGTAGATATAGGAAGAAATGGTAGCAGCAGCAGCAGCAGCTTAATCTGCCTCGGGAAAGGAACACGCGGATGCGACGAAAAGCTTGAACCGGCTTACCCGTCCAGTCATTCGCTTCTCTTCGGCTAGTTTACGTGGAGAGGGATCCTAGAAAGAGGAGGACCAGCAAACTAAACAGTTAACCTCCCCACTGCTACCGGAATCCGGGCGAATGAACCCGCATCCCAAGCCACCACTGACTCCATTCTCGTCGCTGTTGGATTATGAACGTTGGGTTGGACGGGGTGCGCGGAGTCCGTGTGGCTGTGAAGTCATATCCCGCAATGGAATGTCCAACCAGGGGGAAGATGGAGGGAGGAGGGGAAGATCATCTTTGAAGATACGAAAGCAAGAAGCAAGCAAGCATTGTAGTTAGGTAGAGATAACAGTTGGAGATGTGAGTAGCTGTAGCTCAGGTTTCTGCTGCTGTTTTATGCTGCATTTTCCTGCTGAATAGAACCAATTGTATGGATCGCAAGGACCAACTCTTCTCAGTGTCTCTACTAGGTACCCTAGCTACAGGGTGACTGACGGGATGGTTGATCACCATGCGGTGGCTGTCTGGATCCCGCATATTGGAGGGGGCAGGAGGGGAGGAAATACGGAGCAAAGCACCCATGACGATGAAATCAAGGATGTCCGGGGATCCATTTCGTTATCATCATACCACATGGCAAGTTACTCTTTCCCGCCACAGAATGGTTCAGCCCGCAATTGATCGCTGGTCCTGGATTGGATCTTCACCATACTTTACAGGGAAGGTAGAGGGGGGGGGAAGGGAAGAAGAGGAAAGAAGAGAAGGGTAGGTAGCGAACAGCACCCGTATTTGGCATTTCGAGGACCCCGGCGTCTTGTTGACTGGCATTATTATTTCCGTCATCGGGATCCATGTTCATGTTCATCAATCGGGTGGCGGTCGCCTGTCTAGCAGTTTCGATCATCCCATCAGTGCGCGCAGGGGAAATGACAAGGGCTGAAAAGCATGGATGGAGTATTCCCTTATTGTTTCCGCGGGATGAAATGGAAATGAAATGGAATGAAATGAAATGAAATGATGGGGTTGTCTGATCGGAATACTAGCGGTCAACCCAGAGCTGTCTCTCTTTTCTCCTCTCTTACTAGATAGATACCTAGTAGTTAGATGCCTACTAATTCCGTAGATACCTAGGTTTCACTACCTGACAGGCTTAGGCTTTAGCTTTAGCTTTGGCAGTGTTTCTTTTCTTTTCCCATAGTAATAACAAATACCATGCCATATTGTCATCGATTTCGTCGACGGTGGTGCCTAAGTCAACTCAGACAGACTCTATCTCCCCTGCTTCTCAACTAAGTCCGTTTCTACCCTAGTCCGGAGTACTCCGGACTTATTCTCCATCTTTGTATCCATAACCAGGCTGGGGTTCGGCCGGGTCTTTTTCGGCAGGAGGAGAAGGAGAGGAAAAAGATGAGGAGGAAGTAAGAAACAGCACTAGTTTGCACGCGTACCTCATCCGTATCCATGGAACAAACATCCACATCCACTCGTGGGTATTTCTTAGCCGGAAACCGTATCGGAAAGCGGTTGTTCCTCGTTTCCGAACGTTCGTTCATTTTTCCTCGTGGAATTTTCCCCTCCCCAACTATGATTGCCAGTTCAACTTTCTTCAGTCAGTAGTAGTACTACTCCTAAGTAGTACCTACACAGTAGTAGTCTTTGATTATGCTTTCTCGTTTCTCACTTACTTTTCTGTTTTCTTGCCTCTGATCAGTAAACTGATTGACCAAATGATGATTATAACCATTTATAGCAAGTAAGCTGGCTGGCGATACGATGCCGATCTGTTCATTCACCTTTTTGCTTTTTGGTCGCGCCCGCAGATGTATGCAGCCGAAGCCAGGGTTGATCCCACCAAATCATCCATGGGTTTTATCAGCGATCCGGTCCAAATCACAATCAACTACTGCATCTTCTAACGTACGGAAGATGTGGCCTCACTTCCGTAGATTGCTGATATTCCATCGTCCCATCGAGATTGGACTGCAAAGCTATACG